CACACACACACCACACACACACCACACATCACACACACACACCACACACAGACACAGACACAGACACAGACACACACACACACACACTGAACAACAACAAAGCCAAATGCAAACCACATGTATCTGAAGCCTAGCATCTCTGTAGGAAGAGACAGGAGGGTCTACAAAAGCTCCAGGGGCCAGTTCTTCTGGCTTATGCAGCCGTGAAGAGACCCTGCTTCAAACAAGGTAGGGGTTGAAGATGGCCACCCACAAGCCATCCTCCAATCTCCCTAAGCATACTGTAATGTATGCATGAAATATATTACATTGGTTTGAGCGCCCATTGCTACTCTGCAGTGCAGGTAGCTACTTTTGCAGACTCTAGGGCAGTGAGTGGTTCTCAACCTTTCTAATGCTGAGACCCTGTAGTATTGTTCCTGTTCCTCATGTTGTGGGGACCTGCAACCATAAAATTATTTTTATTGCTACTTCATAACTGAAAATTTGCCACTGTTATGAATCTGTAACGAACATGTCTGTGTTTTCCACTGGTTCAAGGTGATCCCTAAGAAAGAGTTGTTTGACCCTCCCCCGCCCCCTCCACGGCCAAAAGGAGTGACACTCCACAGTTTGAGATCCACTGCCCTAGACAAAAATAACCCACAGTGAGAAAATACTTGGGTTAAGCACTTTCTGATGGAGATACTACCCAAAGAGAACATTTGCCTATTTCACAGGCGACCCCGTGCTATGATCACCCTGAAGCCTATTTTCTTTGTCTATCTCTCCTTTGTCTGTCTACCTCTCCTTTGTCTCTCTGGATGGGGACACAGGGATGGGAAGGCAGGAATCCTACGGTCGGAGGAGACTACAGCAGCTTGTAGTGGGTCTCTGGGGTCTGAGTTCTGCTTCCTGGCTATGGGTGGCAGTCGGGAGCAGAGGGGAATTGCTGCTGAGCAAACCCAAGTGTTCCTACCTGGATTTAGGGCTTTGCAGGTTCTGGCGGCTGAGGAGTCGAGCGGCTGAGACTCGCTTTTTGTGAACATTGGAGAGACCTGTGCGGAGAGAAATAATGGTTGCAATGAAAGGAGGGTTAAACAGCGGTCCACAAAACCTCCCCGGTGTTGGGTATGTGTGCGCACACGTATATTGTGTATATGTGTAATGGTGTGTGCACAGGGGCATGTGTGTAGGTGTGTGTGTATTAGCCAGAGAATAACCGGGCTGTCATTGTTTAGGTGCTGTGTGAACTGATCTTTTGAGACAGGGTCTCTCACTGGCAGGGAGCCAGCCAGCTGGGTGGCAGGCTAGTAGCCCCAAGATTCTCTTGCTTCCTCTCCCCCAGTGTTGGGATTACAAGCACGTGCCAACCATGGCTGGCTTTTTCATGGGATCTGGGGAACTGAACTTGGGTCTTGGTGTCTGTAAAGCTTATACTTTACCAATGGAGCCATTTCCCCTGACCCCTCTTGAGAGTTTCCTCTGGAGTGGAAGGGATGACAGAAGGGGGCAGGCTTTGGTGGGGCTTGGTGAGGTGATTACAGACATTGAACCAAGTGCCTAGGTCACTGGGATGGAGGTGAGGAGGCAGAGGGGCTCCCAGTTGCACTGTCCCCTGAATGTGGGGACAGGAGCATGGCCTGTATGTGCAAAGGGCTTCTCTGAAAGGGACCAGAGCAACACAGCTACCGTCCCCACACACCCCTGAGGGGAGATCTCCAGCTCCACCCTCCCCAGGCTTACAAAGGTGACCCAAAGGATATGTCAGGTACCTTGGGTCAGCTCTGGAGCTTCCGCCACATATGTGAGGCGGAACTTGTTCCTCTTCCAGCTGCGGTCATTGCTAATGAGGGAATTGTTCGCCTTCTCGATGTTGACATCATCCCCCACGCAGAACACGTCACAGGCTGCCTGTGGCCCACAGAGAGTTATCCTAGATGTTAGGTCAGTTATCCTAGGTAGTTCCTCCCCAGGAACTCCACGTAATGGCATGGAAGTCTCCCTCCTTCCCTCTTTCCTTCCCTCCTTCCCTCCTTCCCTCCTTCCCTCCCTCCCTCCTTCTCTCTTCTCTTCCCATTCTGAACTCCTGCTCTCCACCCACTAATCCAGATACCCATCCTTCCTTCCACTATCCACCCACCAACCCATTCACTCATCCACTGACCTACCCACCCTTTCATCTACCTAGCTATCTGTCCATCTACCTACCAACCCTTTCTTCCATCCACCTATCTATCCATCTATCCATCCATCCATCTATCCATCCATCCATCCATCCATCCATTCATCCATCATCCATCTACTATCTATCCAACCATTCATCATCTGTCCATCCATCCATCTACAACAATCCACCTATCCATCCATCCAACCATCCATCCACCCACCAACCCATTCATTCATCCATTGACCTACCCACCCTTTCATCTACCTAGCTATCTGTCCATTCATCCACCCAACATGTATCCATCCATCCATCCATCCATCCATCCTCTCACTCATTTACCTTTCTACTCATCCATCTATTTGTCTATCTCTACATAATAGTCTATCCAACTACTATTCATCCATCCATCCATCCACCCTCACCCATCCATCTGCCCCCACCCATCCATCCTCCCCATCCATCTGTCACCCGACATTGTGAGTAGTGACTTGAGGGCCTTACTTCTACTGAAGACACATCTATGATGCCATTTATTACTAAGTCCCATGTGCCCAGAGGCTTAACATTAAAAATGAAAGTAAGTACCATAGAATTTCCTTTCATCTTCTTCAAAAGGTTTAAAACAATTATATAAAGCCAGTACACACTGTCTGGATACACGCTTTTTTTTTTGTTTCCTTTTTGGTCACGGCTCCTTTATCAGCAAACAATAATCCTAAGAGTTACTGCTCAGGACCATTAGTAAACATTTTCTGTGACAAGTTCAGAAAGGTCTTTAACCTTTGGGCTCCAGTGATGCCCCTGCCTCAGCCTCTCAAATAATAGAGACTGAGACATAAACAACCATGGGTCTACTTTGCAGTGAAATTTGGAATTTTCAAACATAGGTTTTATTATAATCTGGTTGTGTGCTGATTTACAGTTGCCATGTTCATCACCAGAAAAAAACAGAAAAGCAAAATACCGTACTGTGGAGTATTATTTGACCACAAAAAGAAATAAGGTGGCGACCCATGTAGATAAACCTTAAAAACTTTACAACAAGGGAAAGAAACCCATAGTGAAATGTCACCTGGTATTGGCTTTCATCCCTAGGAAATGAACAAGAAGAAAAGTCTATAGACACAGAAATGTGTTAGCGCAGGCCAGGGATGGGATGGGAGCAATGGTTTGCGACCTGTGAGTCACAACCGCTCTGGGGGCAGGGTGTCACATTTCAGATGCTTAGGACTCAGTAGCAAAATCAGAGTTATGAAATACCAATGAACAAATTTTACAGTTGGGGGTCACCACAACCCGAGGAACTGTATTAAAGGGTTGCAGTGTTAGGAAGGGTGAAAACATCTGGTTCAGGCTTTTCAGGGTCCTAGCATTCTGGGATGCTTTGTCAAGCCTGGGTGATGAGCTGAGGAGAGACAGTTCTCTCAGAAGTGAATGAACCTGCAACCATCCCGGCTCTCCATGTCTGGGTGGAAATCCAGGAACGGGTTTACAGGCACAGCTCCCCCTTGTAACCCACGGAGCCCTGGACCTACGTGTCCCCTTTTGTCTTCTACACAAGCTCAATGACAGAAGCTGGCAGGACCTTTCCTTCTGGGCCTGCCGATGAGGACGGAGTCCAGGGCAGTTCAGTGAACAGGGCAGAGTCTAAAAGCCACAGGGCTGGTTCTCAGTGACCCCAGGATTCTGAGCAGAAAATGGATGTGTTGAGGTTGCTTAGATTCACTGACGCTCTCTCCTGGCTGTGTGCACTGGGGAAAAGCCCTCCCTTCCTACCCATCTCCCTCTCCTTCATTTCATAGTCTTCTTTCTTGTTCCCTCTCTTCTTCCTTCCCTATTTTTCTCCCCCCTCCCACCTCCCTTCCTTTCTCATGTTAGGCCAACAGCTTACCATTGAGTCATCTCACTACCAACCCCCCCTCCCATGGCACTGTCTGGGGTACGATGGGGTCCCATACCTTGAAGACTTTCTTGGCCCAGGTCCTGAAAGCTTCTTCCTGCCCGCAGAGCTCATCCCCCTCCCTCATCTTCAGAATCCTCTCCCCTCCCAGCTCCTCCAGGAGGGTGTCCACCGCATGCCCAAAGGCACAGAAGTGGGGATACGCCCGAGAGCCCAGGCCGAATACTGAGAACCTGTCCAGGAAGAAAGAGAAGATCTGTGATGGGGGATACGGGGGTGTGGGAGGTGTGTGGGCTCTGGTATCATGGGCTGATTAGCGTTACTTTGAAATTCATGTGAGTCTTGAACCCCTATGGGACTGTATGTTGAAATAGGAGCTTTAAGGAAGTGATCATGGTTGGTAAGAGTCCTACAAAGTCAATTTCCTCTCCTTCTCTGCCACTCCTCTCCAACAAGAAGGTAGTCACTGACAAGCTATTAAGAGAAGCCAGCAGGAACCCACCCCTTGCTGAACTCCTAGCTTTCAGAACTATGAAAAAAAAAACCACACTTTTCAGTGGAAGGATAACTTCAACCCCAAGGGCTCTTAAGATCCTTTCTCTTGGCCTTTAATAGGGATTGGCGCTTCCGGAGAAAGTTCTAGTGCTCTCTGAGGAGGGAGGGCGAGGAGGGTAATGAGCAGGAAACCTGGGCTGTTGGACAGATGTTCCTCTATTCCTTGGACTGTTGACAGAAAAGAATCTTAGCGGAATGCTTCCATTTGTAACAAATCACTTTGTTTTAGGAAGGACTGAAAAAAGAATGCTAATAAACCCCTGTTGGCCTTTAACTACAGCATCTCCCTCAGATATGTGACTCCTGTGCTCACCCGTCATGGATCAGGTGGCTCACTCATGACAACACTTCTGGACTTCTGGACGGACTGAGGGGCGAACGCCACAGTCACTGGGAGAATCGTGTTTTCCTGACAGTTGCTACATTTGAATACAAAGTTTCTACTTTAAACTTCAAAACCAACAGGTGACCAAGTTCTCAGCTGCAGGGCCAGATAGCAAAGATACGTAAGATTTCAAAGTTGAAGGTGCCTTGTGGTTTTTTAGACAAGAAAAAAAAAAAAAACCTCAAACGCCTGCATATTTTTTAATGGCTGAAGTTAAAATATCACCATAATAATGAAGTACAATTATTTTTGGTGTGTGTGCATATGTGTATGGAAGACAGATGTCAATTTTAAGTGTTGTGTCCCCGAACGGCATTTGGTGGTGGTGGGGGAGGGGCAGGAGTGCTCACTGGGACTTGAGCTTCCTCCTGTCTCTTTTCATCAGTGCTGGGGCTACAGCTGCATACAGCTGTTTCTACTCCGGCTTTCCACATAGGTGTTAGGGAGGGCACCTGGGTTCTCAGGCTTGTGTGACAAGAGCTTTTCAGGATGAGCCCTCACCATACTCCTGAGTAAAATTCTCTAAATACAAACCCACCAATGGGAAGAAGGGTCTTTTTGGAGGAGGGTGGGATTGAGGGGGATAGAATTTTGCCTAACTAGGATATGAAGGTAATGCTAAGATTATGTCCTGATACCAAAACCTAAGAGCTGCTCCACATTCTAAGTGAGACCTGATGCAGACCATAGGCTTTGGCTGATAAAGACATGACCGTGTCGGTTGGCGTGAGATGCTGACATTAGGGGAGGGTGGGGATGTGGAAAGGGAGATGTTTTCCTGCTTTCTATGCAATTTCAATGCCAGCCTACAGCTGCTTTAAAGATACAGCGCTGGGCAGGGGAGACAGCTCAGTCAGTGGGCCAAGTGTTCTTAAGGACCAGACTTCAGATTTCTAGAACCCACGTAAATCTGGTAGTAGCGTGTGCCCATAATCCCAGAATTCCTGTAGCCAGAAAAGAGGCAGAGACAGGAAGCTCCGTGTGTCAGCCAGCTTGGAGTATGCAGACATGAGAAGAGACCCTGTTTCAAATGAGGTAGCAAGGGAGGTCCCAGACGTGAGGCTGCCCTCTGACCTCTACATGTGCACTGCGGAGTGTGTGCCTGCATGCAACACACACAAAAAAACACACATACACACATACACACACACACACACACACGCACACACACGTCTCATACACATACAAAATAGGGAAGTGTGTAAAAACATAGACAAAGTTCTTCAGTCTACAAGTTCTATGTCCTGTGCCCTCTGAGCCTGGCTCTGAGCGGCCATTAAGAAGGTTCATCTTGGGGCTGGAGACATGGCTCAGCGGTTAAGAGCACTGACTGCTGCTCTTCCAGAGAGATTCTGAGTTCAATTCCCAGCAACCACGTGGTGGCTCACAACCATCTGTAATGGGATCCGATGCCCTCTTCTGGTGTGAGGCTCATCTCAGGCTGGATTGATGGCTCAGTGGTTAAGAGCATTGACTGCTCTTCCAGAGGTCCTGAATTCAATTCCCAGCAACTGCATGGTGGCTCACAACTATCTGTAATGGGATCTGATGCCCTCTTTTGGTCTGTCTGAAGACAGTGACAGTGTACACATATACATTAAATAAATTATACATACATATATATATGCCTTTAAAAATTAAAAAAAGAAGGCTCATCTGGTCAAAATGGAAGAAGTTCATGCCTAGGTCTGGATGGTGGACCAACAGGGTGTCATGTCAGCCTTATTTTGACTGGTATCCAGGTCAAAGCTCCACATCCTTAGTTTTCCCCCAAATGCATGTCTTTGTTACACACCCTCCCCCAAACTGTCTCATGGAATATGACTCTGCTTAGGAAAAGATGGGGGTGGGGAGTAGTTTTCAAATCTGGCTTCGTAGTAGAGGCCGCTGGTTGGACTTAGAAGAAAAGCTGGCAGCAGCAGGCCCAGTTCTAGACCAATCTAGAGATTCTTGTAGAATCTCTTCAAGTCAGGCTTAGGCATATCACACCGGTAGATGGAATACCTCTCCCCAACCCCAGGTGCTTTTGTTTTGTTTAAATCTCCTAATGTAGCCCAGGCTGGCCTTGAACTTGCCATCTTCCTGCCTCAGCTTCTCAAGTGCCAGGACTATAAGTGTGCACAGCCAATATACAATGTGTCTACTTGAAAAAGCGGCTCTGACAGCGGCATCTGGAGACTACTGCCCTTCAGTGCAGACAGTGGGTGGGCCTTAGTGATGGGCTGTGGAAGGAAGTTAGAGGAAGACGCATCAGAGGTTGTTGGGTACGAATGTCCTCACGCATGGGAGACCAGGTAGTGTGTGTTAAGAGAGGGAGAGGCCCCAGAGGACGGGAGGAACACAGTGAGGGGGATTCTCCAGAAGAAAGAACCACCTTGCAGATGATCTACACTCTCTAAGAGCGTTTACCATCCTCAGTTCCCAGTGCCCTTGCTCACCTCACGTTGGCCAGGGGTCCAGTACTTTCAAAGTTGTCTCTGAGGTCGGGTCCGTCGCCAGATGACTTGCGGGAGTCAGAATAGGAGGAGACGCTGTTGAATCGGACCTTGTAGCTCCTGTGACAAAGGAAAGGGAGGCTGTGAGTTCTCTTGGAGCGCCCCCCTGAGGCCAGCTCCCACTCTGGATCTTCAGTTTATTGGTCCTGCTTCTAGAACCTTCTCTGCAGTATTATTATATTTATTATATCACGCCTCTGGACTCTTCAAGATTTCAACTTACCCATAACTCACCACATTGATAGTTGTGGTGGATTGAATAGATTTGGCCCTTATAGACCCATGTGTTTGAATGCTTGGCCATAGGGAGTGGCAGTATTAGGAGGTGTGGCCTTGTTGAGGTAGGTGTGGCCTTGTTGAAGTAGGTGTGGCCTTGTTGAGGTAGGTGTGGCTTTGTTAAGTAGGTGTAGTCTTCTTGAAGTAGGTGTGGCCTTGGTGATGTAGGTATGGCTTTGTTGAGGTAGGTGTGGCCTTGCTGAGGTAGGTGTGGCTTTGCTGAAGTAGGTGTAGTATTCTTGAAGTAGGTGTGGCCTTGGTGATGTAGGTGTGGCTTTGTGGAGGTAGGTGTGGCCTTGGTGAGGTAGGTGTGGCCTTGAAGTAGGTGTGGCTTTGCTACAGGAAGTGCATCATTGTGGGGGCAGGTTTTTGAGACCTCCTATGCTCAAGCTACACCCAGTGTGGCACACAGTCTACTTCTGCTGCCTGTGGATTAAGATGTAGAACTCTCAGCTCCTTCTCCAGCACCGTGTCTGCCTGTGTGCCACCAAGCTTCCTGCCATGATGATAATGCACTAAACCTCTGAAACTGTAAACCAGCCGCAATGAAATGTTTTTCTTTATAAGACTTGTCTTGGTCATGTTTGTCTCTTCACAGCAATGAAGCCCTTACTAAGACACCACCCTTGCAAACTCAAACGTTTTCAGGTCTTATTTGACTTGAGAAGATTGAGAGTCCCAGAGTTCAGGGAGTCTCATCAGTGAAGAAAGAGGATTGGAGGGACACTATGAGACCCGTGAGATGAGGCCTCCTGGCCTCTCAAGTTTTAACATACAGAATAAGAGGCAACTCTGTTAAAGTGAGGGTACCAGTTCAGCAGGGATGGGTGGGGCCCGAGAGCCAGCATTTCTGTCTCTAGACTTCACCAAGAAGCTGGAAACTAGACTGGTATTCTCCAATATGGTAGCCATTTGCTCTCCGTGGCCATATTAATCTAAAATTAATTATAACAAGCTAAAATTAAGTTAAATATAAACTAAGATTAAACAATACGAATGCAAAAACATAATATAAATATAAAATAAGATGTAAATATATAATAAATTAAAATTAAATATAAACTAAAATTAAATAATATAAATATAAAAATATAAAAAAATTAAAATATAAATATGCAACAGATTCAAATTAAAGTAAATATGAAAAACTAGGTGTTCAAGAAGAGAGGACTTGGTAAAATGTGAGGTGCACATAGTAGGTAAGATGTGGGATGCACATAGTAGGTACTCAGAGGGGGCTTTTCAGCCATAAAGAAGAATGGAGTCACATCATTTGCAGGAGAATGGGTGTGAGGGGTCATGATTGGATAAGCCAACCCCAGAAAGACAAAGATTCCATATTACCTCACATTTGTAGCTCCTAAATTCTATAACGCTACATAAAAATCATGTGTTTATAAATGGCAAGAAAGAAGAATTGAGGCTGTCTAGGGGACAGACGGGTGAGGGGAGGGTTGGGGAGTACGGGGACGTATGTTCAATCTACAGTGCATATTTGCATGAAAATTTAAAACATGGCTCCTCGCCCGTGCAAGTTCTATTTCATCCCAGGTGCTCAGCTGTCATATGTGGCTCCTTTACAGCCAGCAGAGGCAGATGCTATGTCAGTAGAGAGTTCCGCAATGCTGGCCTATCCCCGCAGCGCTCTCCTGCCACAGAGGGACATTCTTAGACATTTTAGGGTCATGAGCCACATTTCCAGGAAAAGCAAAAACCGCTTTGTTTTTTTTTTTTTTTTTTTTTTTTTTTTTTTGCCACTGATCTGTGGCATGATCGGACACTGTGTGTGGGCGAGTACATGTACTTGTGGGTACATGTGTATGTGTGTGGAAGCATGTGTGTGGGAGTGTATGTGCTTTTGTGTGTGTATGCATGTTGCACATTAGAAGGTGCATGTCCAGTGTTGGTTGGAACACCCCTGGCTACATTTGAATGTGGCCTCTGTCTTCCAAGTGCTAGGATTAAAGGGGACCCCCTCCACACCAGGCCATGCTTATTTGTTTTTGTTTTTTGTTTTTCGAGACAGGGTTTTTCTGTATAGCCTAGGCTGTCCTGGAACTCACTCTGTAGACCATGCTGGCCTCCAACTCAGAAATCCACCTGCCTCTGCCTCCCAAGTGCTGGGATTAAAGGCGTGTGCCATCACTGCCCGGCCCGGCCATGCTTATTTAAAATATGGCTTCTGAGGATGGGACTCAGTCTCTCACAGTTGTAAGATAAGCATTTTATTCGCTGAGCGTCTCCCCGTAGTCTCCATAGTCAAGGAGGATATCCAAGACTCAGGCCTCAGCACAAGAGGCTCAGGAAACCCAAGACTGAAAACAAAAAATTCGGTTTCCATCAAGACTTTTCGTCTTTAGACAAAACGAAAACAAGGGCTGGCAGTTGCTGCATTGGCAGAGGATCTGAGTTCAGTTCCCAGCACCCACGTGGAGGCAGTTCCAAGAGATCCATCGCCCTCTTGTGGCTTCTGTGGGTACTGCACACATGTATACATATGTACACACTCACGTAATTTAAAACAAAATCTTAAAAGACCAAACTAAAACAAACTTCCCAATATTCAACAAACAGACAATCCTTTTCTTCTCAAATCCCCACACACTAAGGCAGAGTCCCAAAAAAAAACCACATTAGAATGCAAAAGGAGAGAGAGGGAGGAAGGGAGATGGAGGGAGGGGGTGAGGGAGAGAGACAGAAGGGAGGGAGGGAAGGAGGGAGAATGAGATAGACAGAGAGAGAGAGAGAGAAAGAGAGAGAAAGAGAGAGAGAGAGGAAAAGAGAAGACAAAAAAAGAACACCCGAATTCTGGCAGAGCGTCTCTGGGCTGGATGCTTTTCAAAGTTTTTGTTCTAACGAGGTTCTAAATACATGGATGTGTATTTTCTGTCCCCAAAATAGACTCACATTGAGTCACTCCTCCAAATCTGTCATGCAGCATACCAGGGGGGTGGCTGTGTGGGTAACGGGGGAGGCAGGATGGATGGTTGTGGGGTAAAAATATCAGCACGTGTACTGTATGAAGCTGGAGGTTTCTGCCATTGTTTTGCCTGTTGGTAATAATTCCCTCCATCCTCAGCACCAGCCTCCAGAGACTGGCATGGCAGAGATGTCTTCCCATTTGCTCAATGAGAAAGACCAAGCCCACAGAGGTCAAGGGATTTGCTTAAGGTCGTTGAGTTAGTAGCATAGCCTAGGTTAGAATTCAGGGCTCTTTGAGACTCAAATGTAGCCAGGGATGTTCCAACACTGGGTGTGCATCATCTAATGTACAGCATGCATGCATGCACGCACACCAGCATGCATGCATACACACCAGCACACACACATGCACTTGTGCATTCACACACACATGCATTCATGCATGCATACACACCAGCACACACACATGTATTCATGCATCCATACACACACATGTATGTGCATGCATGCTTACACACACATACGCACATACATTCATACATGCACACACACCAGCATACACACATGCACTCATGCATTCACACACACCAGCACACACACATGCACTCATGCATGCATACACACTAACACACATGTATGTGCATGCATGCTCACACACACATACACAAATGCATTCATACATGCACATATACCAGCATGCATGCATACACACCATCACACACACACACATGCACTCATGCATTCATAAACACTAGCACACACACATGTATGTGCATACATACATGCACATGCACACACGCATACACACATGGATTCATACATGCACAAACACCAGCAAACATGCATACACACCAGCACACACACAAATGCATTCATGCATTCACACACATCGACACACACACATGCACTCACACATGTACACACACTAGCGCATACACATGTATGTGTGTACATACATGCACTCGCGCACACACACATACACACATGGATTCATACATGCACACACACCAGCACACATGCATACATGCCAGCACACACACATGTACTCATCATGCATGCATACACACCAGCACACACACACTCACTCATACATGCATACACACCAGCACATACACATGCACATACATGCATGTACGTACATGCGCACACATGCACACACAGATGCTCTCTACCTGTGCTGGCTGTCACGAGCAGCAACAAGACTTTGGGCTTCAGAATCAGCATGGGAGAGGGAAGGCCCTTTACGGGGAAAGAAACGCAAGGGTTCCGGGTACCTAGAGCGGAGAACGGATGGTGCCCTATCTCTCCCTGAAGGAGGCAGGAATGGGGGAGCTGCTGAGAATGGAAAGGAGAGGGGTGGGGAGGTTGAGGGCTAAGATGCTCAAGATGGTGGGGGGAGCAAGGGCTGCCTAGGAGGTGCTCATGGCTCTGACCCCTGGGTACCCAGAACCTGTTTTTTGATCCTGTGCTCTCAGGAGGAAACTCAGAGAGATTTTTCTCCATAAGCCTCTAACTGCAGTCAGTTATGGCATCGCATATCCATCAAGTTACAGGATTTGCTCTTTGGAAGCAGTCCTGTGTTGGCCTCTGTGAGGCGTGGCTCAGCATGCCCCTGCCCTGTGTCCAACACCTCACAAAAGATTCTGGAGGTTTCCAAAGATGGTCTGGACCACAGATGTGCCTGCCTTGTAAAACACTTTGAGGGAGAAGTCAGTTTTATCCTTCCACCCTATGGGTCCTGGGGATCAAACTTAGCTACCAAGGTCGGTGGCAACCAACCCCCTGTCTACTAAGCCATCATGCCAATTCTTTAAAATGCTTTTAGAATGTGAGATAGGACTCCTTCAAGACTGTGTGTGAAACCTCCACCTCAGGAGGTCTCTTGTTTACCCTTTGACCTTGGGTGTGCAACCACAGTGAGTGCCAGATGAATGGTTCTAAGGGCAGAGTGGCTCCCACTGACTTTGTGTGGGTTTCAAAGGCAGAGGAGGGACAGTGGGCCTAGGCTTTCCTAACATTCTCCCACCTCCTCCCCTACCCTCCTCCCAACCCCCCGGTTTGGTTCTCAGCAAGCAGAGTCCAGGTAAATAGTATAATCTTGGCTCAATCACTAAGGAATCTGAGGCACAGAGGAGAGGTCTGACTGAGTCAGAGACCAGAACATCAGCCACGGGGAAGCCCAGACCACCAGCTAAAAATCCATCTCCAAAGACTGGCAAACACGGCCCGGTTTTCACACGAATCCTAGGTGCTGAGACATACTGGTCAAGGATTCCCAAGGGTATCCTATGACACGGAATGGGGCATTCACTTACTTCCTCTCCTCCTGCACAGAGTTGGGGTGCCTCATCTCCATTAAAGCACAGCCGAATTTCTAGAAGTCAAAACAATGTGAAGAGCGTATTAGAGGGTAGGCATAAGGTCTGGGGCCGTAGCTGGTAAAAGAGGAGCCTGATGTCTGATGGATAGACGTCAGGGGTTGAGGTGGGCATCAGTGCCCCAGGTGCAGGTTCAACCCAAGTGTTGGGGTGGGGTGGACATTTAAAGCTCAGGTATGAACTCCCCACCTCAGCGCACAGCTAACTGTTGTGGTCTTTGTTGTCTGAAGGGACCACTCTGAACTCAGAATTGGGGCACCTTAAACACATAGCTGACCGAAGGGGATTGTTTATCTAAGGGACACTGATAGAAAAAAACGTGGTATCATCCCACTCGCCCAAGTTGGATCAAATGAAAGTCTTGGCTCTGGGGGTCAGGGAGGGTTTGCTTCTGAGTAAGGAAGGGGTCCCAACTGTGGCTATTTTCTCTAGGGGATGGAACCCCATGCTAGGGCAGGGACATCTGCTCACCTCCCCATTCTCAGGGGGGTCTCCATTGCCAAAGGTGCTGGTGACCACCAAGACCAGGGCTTCGTGCTCCAGGTGCACGATGTCATACTCCTCCATGGACATAGCCTAGGTGGGCAGAGACACCGGGGAGGGGAGAAGGGGTGAGCGGTGACAGGGAGAGAGAAATTGACAGGGGAAGAGGGTGTGAGGAGGAAGAAGAGAACAGCTCCGAGTTGCCTCCTTGCACGGGGTCCAATGTTCTAGGTGCTGTTCAGTGGGCTCACACAGGTAACAGTAACGCCTTTTGCTGACATGAAATCTTGCTGTGGTCATTGTGCCCTGAAGGACTATGGGAATCCTGGCTCCTGGTCCAATGAAACGGTTGCTAGGAGACTAGATCTTACCTCCCAGGTACTAGGACTACGGGCACGCCACTACGTATTTGTCATTTACATCTGGAAGCCGGTCATCCAAACTCCAATTCTCATACTTGGATGACGAGCGCTTTACGGACTGAGCCATGTGCCCCATCCCAGGGCACTGGAGTTTTCATGATAGCAGAGTCCTGATCATAGTTAGCCAGGTTTGATCTGACAGTACTTGACCAGGCTTGCACAGTCTTCTCTAAGTCTGCCTCCGGTGCCCCAAAGGACCCGAGCCCTTCAAGGCTGAGGTGCCCTATGGTGAGACTGGTTAGCGGTGTTTTAGCGTTACTCACACATTTCTCAAAGTATGTTCTAAGGAACCCGTCTCCCCAGATGCTCCATGAGAACAAGGAATCCGGGGTTAGACACGTTTGGGAAATACATCACTTCCCACATTATTTATTATAATTATTATTATTAGGTTTGGTTTTTCGAGACAGGGTTTCTCTGTGTAGCCCTGGCTGTCCTGGAACTCACTCTGTAGACCAGGCTGGCCTCGAACTCAGAAATCCACCTGCCTCTGCCTCCCAAGTGCTGGGATTAAAGGTGTGCGCCACCTCCGCCCGCACTTCCCACATTATTATGGGTGTTCGTAGATAAAGGTTAATTGTTAACAGCTCTGAAAGTCCTACACTGATATGACCCATGGACTTGGGTCTCTCACACGGATCCCCATCGGGATGGATTCTCCTCCGTCTACGAACATTCTGCTCTAGAGATACGGGTTTCATGAGGTCTAGACTCCTGTATGCAAATCTGTGAATCGATTGTTTTCCACAAGGGTCCGGGGAGCTGCTACTATTCGCTCACCTTGGCGTCAAAGGCGTGCTTGAAGATCTCGCATAGGGTCTTGGCATAGGCTTGTGATTTGCCTGTCTCCGTGGCATAGAGAATGGTCGCTTTGACCCTCTTGGCCATGGCCTGTCCCATCAGCTTGGCTGAGAACTTGACAGCCCTGCGAGGGAGCGGGTAGAGAGAAGAATGGGGGGGACAGAGAAGGGACACGAGATGCTGAGACTTAGGGACCCCCTAGAGACATACCACGCCTCAGAGTTCAGAGACCGTATTGAATTCTACATTACTTCGACAACAAGTTCTGAGGTCCAAGGTTGGCAACCTGGATGTTGTTGGGGGGTTATATCTAGTCCTGACAACCTTATAACATCACCAATAATTCCCAGGCCCTGAATGAGATGGTTTTTAGAGATCTTTTAGAAAATAATTTATGTTATATATTAATTTGTTGTATGTACATGAGTAGCCATGTGCTTTTGCCTCAACCCGGGCATGGAGGTCAGAGGTCAGCCTGCCCAAATTGGTCCAACTGGGCCTCTCCTTTCACCATGTGGATCTTGGGATTTAGACTCAGGTCTTCAGGCTTGGCAGCAATGCCTTTACCCTCTGAGCCATTTTACTGGTGGGCCTTTAGTGGTTTATAACACCCGCAAAGGAAGAACCAGATTGCTTTATTTACAAATACACATCCAGCCAAGGTTCTGCACGGAGCTTGGTACCTAGTGGGCACCATCTAGATAGACGTCAAATATCTATCAAAAGAAATAGTGAATTTTTAAAGACACTGTGCCTATGCTGAGTCTGACACCAAGTTGGAGAACTTTAAGCTAGCGCTGTACTTCTGGGGGGAGGGGCAGGGAAGAGGAAGGGGCAGTGAAGAGGGAGGGGCAGAGAAGAGGGGGGGCAGGGAAGAGGGAGGAGCAGGAGTGGCTGCCCACCACAGATTTAGCTGTACCTGAACTTCCATTCCTACCCTCACTAGAAATCTCCTAGAAAACAAATTACTAGATATCTCCCACCTGGGGCTTATTGGCGGTTAAGTTCATTGTTTTATACAATTAGGGAAACCACCCACGCTGTAGGAAGGCTCTGAGCTCAGGGGGAGGGAGAGAGAGGAATGAAAGGTGCCTGGATGGCTCCCCTGGAAGGCTGGGAGCCCAGAGATCACGTATAATTAACTCACAGGGTCTCCACCCGGAACTTAGTAACAGTGTTTCTTCCAACTGGCTTTCTCTCCTGGAGCCTGCAGGATGAAACTGTAGCCAGATCTGAAGGTTTAGGGTGCTCTGGTAAGGAAAGGAGGCTACCGGAGAGCTCTTACTGGCAGAAGATGCAGAGATGGAGGGAAGAGAGAAGGATGGAGGAAAGTAGGGATGGGAGGAGAGAGAATAGAACCATCTCCTAGGTCCAAGTTCATTAGGTCAGGTACAGCAGGGTGGACCAGAGTCTTGCCTCTGGGGTTCCTGGTATAGCTGATACCTGCTGTATACCTGGATGACACACATGAGGGTTCTAGGATCTGGGGGCAGAAGACAAACTAGTTTAGTTTGTATCAGCGTCTTCTGCCAAACAAAGGTTTCTGCTACGTGAATGGGTGGGGTTTCATTTCTCAGGACAGGAGGTTGGTGACCCCGTTATGTCATCTTTGTGATGTACACCATATATGCCAGCAGGACTCTGGACTGAACGTGATTCCTCAGCGGCCTTGGTCTACAGCTTCTTGACCTTCCACTTGGCTCAGTAAAACATTCTTATATTACTATTATATTATTATTATTTTTTTAAAAGACAGGACCTTGTTATATAGTTCAACCTGGTCTTCCCTAATTCAGTATTTTGTGTGTGTGTGTGTGTGTGTATGTGTGTGCATGTGCACGAGCACACACACTCATGCACATGTGTGCTTGCGGAACGGGATGGGATGGCCGTACCCATCACCGAGTTGGCACAGGGTACAGCACCTGCCTAGCTCCAGGTACTCCCAACTTGTGGACAGATAGATCCCTTCCATCCACCAGTGCAGGACACTCACTCTGCCAATTTCTTAAAGCCGATGGCTCGCCGCTTCGTGGGGGTCCCGTTGGTGCCCTTCCACACGTGAGTGTTCCATGGATCAGGCTGGGAAGAGAAGAGATGATACCAGTCAAAGCCCTGGGGAAATTCAATCCCACTGGGAGATGTCCAGAGTTCCCTGGGTCTGGGTCCTGGGTCCTGGGTTTGGGTCTGGGTCCTAGCTCCTGGCTCGTAGCTCGTGGCTCCTGGCTCCTGGGTCCTGGGTCCTGGGTTTGGGTCTGAGAGCTGGGGCTCCCCAACCTTCAGTCCCACAAGGTAGGGATTGAGCCAGGGACAGCCACACATGTCTCTGTACAAGGTGATGGGTACACCTCCCTGCAGTGTCCCACCAGCTCTTCTCACTCAGCCTTAATTCCTTAGACTCGAATCTGAAATAGGGTTTGGATACACAGCACAGCTGAATGGCTGCAAATTTGCCATTCTTCTGTTTCAACTCTCCTGAGTCCTAGGATTCTAGGTGTGTGCCACCATGTCCAGCTTGAACACTTCCTGGATCTGTACTTCCTGTCTCTTTCAGTCTCTTGGGCTACAGGGCACACCCACGTCCACACCACTGACCTGTTTGAAGATGGCCCTTGGGAGTTGGAATAACTTGACCCATGCGTGGTAGGTCTCAGGGTAGAGGGGAGCCTGGGACGGGAGTGGAGGGGTGGGGCAGGACCTGGTATTCAAAGGACGGGGTGAGTCGATAGTTGAGCATCTCCTGGTGGAAGACAGGGGTGATACTGCCTGACATGGGGGGCACAATCCACACCCAGTCAGCGGGGCAGCCCCCCCTGCAGCGGTATTCATTCTCCATGTGTTTGATGAAGGACTCGGTGGCAGAGTGGTGGTCGACGATGGTCACCTTGTCACTCTGCAGGAGGAGAGGGGACACGGAGTCAGGAAGGATGAGAAGGTGGGATGTTTGGTTATCTTCCCTACAGAATCTGCCAAAGGGCAGCCTTGTATGATTCTAAGTTCTTTAAGTCAAATTGCACAGGCGAAAGGTTCTGCTTGGTGCTAGTCTAGCTCTAAGACCTTCCGCATCCGTCTTTAGTCAAGGGGTGGAGCCTCAGGAGGGAGCTAGACTCTCAGGGTTTTTTCTTATGTGTGTGTACTTGTTATCCCATGCTATATTTACCTTCTGTAACTGTTTATAGTGGTGAAATAAAACCCTCTCAACGTAGACAGTTTTAAGGAGTGAGTTTGAGCCTATTAGAGATCAAATGAGTAAGGCAGTGTGGCGGTTTGACGATGCATGGTCCAGGGAGTGGCACTATTGGGAGGTGTGGCTTTGTTGAGTAGGCATGGCTGAGTTGTAGTAGGCATGGCCTTGTAGCAGGTGTGGCCTTGTTGAAGTGGGCGTGGTCGTGGCAGAGTGGGCGTGGCCTTGTTGGAGTGGGCGTGGCCTTGCCAGAATAGGTATGTCACTGTGGGTGTGGGCTTTAAGACACTCATCCTAGCTGCCTGGAAGCCAGTCTTCTCCTAGCAACCTTCAGATGAAGATGTAGAACTCCCAGCTCCTTCTGCACCATGCCTGCCTGAATGCTGCCATGCTCCTGCCTTGATGATAATGGACTGAACCTCTAATCCTGTAAGCCAGCCAGAACATTTAATTGGGGCTTCTAGGAGCTACCGTGGTCATGGTGTCTGTTCACAGCAATAAAACCGTAACTAAGAGAGGCAGTGTGGAGGAGGGTGGACCAGAGTCTAGCACAGGCTGGGGCTGGTGGGCATGGATTTACAGATTGTCTAAGAGACACTGCCCCGACTCCTTTCCATCCTGTCCTTCACCTCTCCTATGTCCTGAGTGTTCCCATCAGGGGCCAAGTTCTGGTCATTTCTACAGCTCCTTAGCTCTCCATGGGAGGTTGCTTCTTGCCCCGCCTCCTGCACAAATCTCTGCACCCTGATGTTCTGTGAGGTATCTGCTCTATTCAGGTCCACCCAAGGTCTGAATGACCATGCTTATCTTCTGTCTAGCAGGGCAAGGTTAGTGTCAAGTCCCTAAAGCGGCTGCAGAGATACCAGTTAGGGTCTGTCCACTCGGCATAACAACAGTGCCCACCTTGTGCTGAAGAGCAGTGCGGTCTGGGTGGTCTGTTCCCCACCCATCTTACTATAACCCCTGATGGGAGGCAGGGATATGGCTGAGGGTGAAGATGGGAAAGACTGAGTCTCTAAGAGACGGGAAAGCAGAGATCCAGTCATCAAACTGCAGAATCGTAAATATCAAGTTCAGTCCTTCCTCTCGCTTCTCTCCATCAAATCTCCGCCTTGCCCAGGTCACGACAGGAAGGCATGTGAAGGGTAAGAAGCAGGTCACATGACATATGGGAGCCACTGAAGGTGATCATTTTTTGGTGTTTATGTATTCAAGTGTGTATGAAGGTGCATGTGCATATATGTGGATGTGGAAGTCAGAGGACAACTTTGGGTATCTTTCCTCAGATGCCTGTTGGAGACAGAGTCTCTCATGAGCCTGGAACCTCACCCAAGGTGGGCTAGGCTGGATAGCCAGAGAGGATCCAGGAATCTCTGCCTCCTGTCTCACCAGGGTTACAACCATTCATCCCCTCTAGCTGGCTCTCTGTGTGAGCTCTGGGGATTGGATGTAGGACCCCATGCTTGTGAAGCCAGTCCTTCACTGAGTGAGCCATCTCTCTAGCTCCCAAAGATGGACCTTGCTGGACAGAACCCTTGGCCCCCTGTTTTAGGGTCTCTGGAGCAGTGGCTTTTTAACTTTCCTGATGCTGTGACCTTATAATTCAGTTCCTCATGTTGTGGTGACTCCCACCTGTAAAATTATTTTCACGGCTACTTCATTATTGTAATTTTACTAGTGTTCAACATCATAATGGAAATCTCTGTGTTTTCTGATGGTCTTAGGTCACCCCTGTGAAAGGGTTGTTTGACCCATAGGTTGAGAACCACGTTCTAGAAAGTTCTTTTCCCCTCCTCTCTCCTTTGAGGCTTGAGCCCTACGGTACCTGAAAGCTGTACAGAACAGCAATGTTGATCTCCACCAGGGCTTGGTCCTTCCAGAGGGAGGATGTCTTCCTCATGTCTAAATCCATCTTCTTGGCTACTTCCTGGAAGGGCAGAGAAAGCATCGAATCACAGGCTGGCTAACTCTGGATTTCAGACCAGAGACAGTAGTGTTTTGTATTCTTAATTATCAGTTAATTACTCACCACTCACAGGCTGACCAACTCGCTCACAGGCTCCAAAGATTTGCTATTGACAACCCAGTTGGTAACTAAAGAGACATGGCTGGCCCTTAAGCCATTATACCCATGTGTCAATCAATGTAGGAGAATGTATGTGCTAATGCCTAGTACTTGAGACTTGGAGACCCGGGGGCTAGTTGCTTTCTAAGCCAACAACACTCTAGCAAAATAACTGGAAAGAAATATGTCCTGGCATTAGTTCTTGACATAATAGAAATGAATACCCAGGTCACAGTGGCAGAGGCCCGGAGGCAAATTCCTTAATTAAAGTTGTGCTTTTCTCTCCCTTTGTCAAGGCTAGACACTGGTGGGAGCCTGGGTCTCATTACGACACTCAGATGCTACCATTGCTCAATTTGGGTAAATTGCTCCTCGGCCCGGCTGACATGGTGTCCAGCCGCTGGAATTGAAGGGCCAGGGTGACAGAGTCTCTCATTTAAGTCGTGAGGCGACCCAGAGAGCAGACTTATTAATTCACTGTCCAAGGAGGCGAAGGCTTTCAGTTTAGCTCGTATGGCAATCAGGGACACCTCCACAGGAAGTGAACGGGTCCTGCTTTATGTAAATCTGTCTAATGACCCTGGTGAATTTCTGAAATGGGGACAGTTCATACAACTGGGCACTGTGCGGCATTACTTTGAATAAAGGAATAAAAGATTGTTGAAAAAAAAACAAACGCCCTTTTGACTTGAGGAAAAACCGAAACAAACAAAACCAAAAAAAATGAAACTTCCAGATGTCAGTTGAATTAGGATATTGGCTTGAACTGGAAAACATCCCAATGTGGTTTTTTCTTTCTTGTCAGAGGTTTGTCTATACTGGTGTCTAATTGCTAGGGAGCTTGAGAAATCTGATACCCAGACCGCACCCCAGACAGATAGTGTGAGAATCCTCTGGACTGGGGTCTTGCCACCATGAAACTCTCCCTGTCACTCCAGCAAGGCTGATGACCCCCAACACCAGTAAATATTGCTTTATTTTTTATGTTTTTGAAACAGGATCTCATGTAGCCCAGGCTGGCCTAGAACTCGCCATGTAGCAGAGGACAGCCCTGACTTCTTAATCCTCTTAATTCTCCCTTCCAAGTACAGGATTACAGGCATGAGTTACCATGCCTGGAGACATGAGTGGGGTTTAACAGCCTAAATGTAGTTCTTTGGCTCTGTGTACGAATCTTGATTCTTCACTGAGAAAGACTGTGATTCAGACTCACCCCTGGCTCCTCGGTGTCTCTGTAACCTCCATGGAAACAAGGCCAACAGTTGCAAATTTGCTAACAAATACAATATAACAAAAAAAAAATACTCCCCCAAACAAAGTAGAACCCCAACCCTCCCACATTCTCATATTTTCTCTCTCTCTCTCTCTCTCTCTCTCTCTCTCTCTCTCTCTCTCTCTCTCTCTCTCTCTCCCTGCCCTCATGGCTTCTGCATCCAGCTCTCCACACCCAGCACTCCTCAAGGCATGATTGGACTACCTGTAGACAGCATGCGTCTGTACAAAGCACGGGAAGCCATTTCTGCTGTCACCATTACTTAAACTGTAGACTGACAGCCATTTGTATAGTACCTATACTGTATCTAGAATCATATGTCAGCTGCAGAGGGTTCTGATATACCGGAGACTGTGTAAACATCACAGAGGTTTATGTATAGGACTTGGGAATCTAAGGTGTGTGTGTGTATGTGTGTGTATGTGTGTACACATGCATATATGTCCAAGCAGAGATCAGAGAGCAGCCTCTGGTGTCTGTTGTTCCTCAGGGGCCATCCACCTTGTTTACTGAGGCAGGCTCTCACACAGGCCTGGAACTTTCCAAGTAGGCTCGGCTTCCTGCCAGCGAGCCCCAGAGATCCACGTGTCCCCACTCCCCTTGTCCTGAGATTATTGTGCAACCACTACCCTGCCCAGCTTGTAAAATGTGCATTCTGGGGCTTGAACTCAGGTTCTCAGGCTTAGGGCGGGAAGTACTTGACCTACAGTGTCATCTCTCTGTCCATCTGCAGATTTTCAAATCTGAAGGGACCCAGAGAATCCTCTGTGGATGTCAAAGGGAAGGCTCCTGTGCAAGATGCTCATACAGCATTCTCTGTGGTGGCGGCTGTGCTATTTGCTACTTCAACCTTCGCTAGGAAAGACACAGCTGCTTCTGGCATTTCTAAAAGATTTACCAGGACTGCAGCTCTGTCCCGACACATCCAAACTCCCAACCCCAAAGCTGCAGTGTGGTGTCCTCTGTTCCCGTGTTTAGGGACCATCGAGAGACCTCACCTCCAGGATATTGTATCGAGAGTTGTCACAGTAGTCACGGACACCGATCTCCGTGCCCATGTACCAGCCACTGAAGGGACAGGCGCTGAACTCCAGGCCCCCTATCTCCAGCAGCATGTTGGACACAGCGGGGAGGCCATACCATTTGAGCCCCAGATCCTTAAACCAGTCGAACCTGCAGAGAGCAACGTGGCCCTGCTCAGTGTGTGGCAGGTATCTCCTGAGCAGTCTCCTCAGGTTGGGGATGCTCCAGGCCCAGCACCTACTGGGACCATGCACAGACCCTGTTATGGACAGTTCCTTTTCCCCATTATCTCCTTTTTTCTGCACCTTCATTTTTAAATCTTGCTTGTTTCCCAGTTAGACGTTCCTTGCTCTGGGAAACCTTCCCAATGTTCAGTTGGCTTCAGGTGACCTCATATTTGTCCTTTGCTGTGTTTTCTTGGAACTGACAGTTTTAGGAGTCATTGGTCTACGGTCTTCCCCTCTTTGACACGCGCCTCAGAGGCAGGGACATGATGCGTGGGATGTGGACCACAGAGCAAGCTGAACAGACTTAGAAGTGGACAGGACTAAGCCAAATGCACCCAGGGATCTGGTTGTGTTCCAATGTATCAGGTGTCTCGGACAGGTGTTCTCTGTGCAGGGAAGACTCAGGTAGGGCAGGTGGGGTACCAGTCCTAGGTACAACCTTCTGGGGGCTCCCCAGAGATATAGCCAGCAAAATCAGCACCGTTATTTGTATACGAGGTATTTGAAATGAATCCACGCTTTAAAGAAATAAACATTAAAAACCAACCCCGTTTAAATAGACAGGCTCCCTCTCGTGTGACTTCCCTAACTCGCCAGACCCTCACGTCAGGTCTGAGCTGATCCTGTGTTTATTTAGGAAGTTGAGATGTAGCTCTGCACAGATTAAAAATAATTTACTGGATTTTTAAAGATCTATTTTGCATATGACTTAAGTTTCTTAGCAACCTCCCTGGGTTTGGCCCGGTCTGGCACCTCAGGGTAATGTTCCTTCATTCATTTTATAATTATGTTTATTTGGGTGTGTACGCCAAAGGGCAGTTAATAGAAGTCAGTTCTGTCCTTCCACTGTGTGGGCCCCCGGGATCGAACTCCTGAAGTCAGGCTTAGCAGCAAGTTCCTTTACCAGCTGAGCCATCTCACTAGCCTAGCGTGATTTTCACTCTGAAAGTGCACCTGCTTCTCTGTCTGACCTTGGTCTCCTAGCTACTTCTGGGCCCTAGATTCTGTCTGAACTTGGTTTACCCAAGGGTCAGACGTTGTATGCAGCTACCTCTATTGAATGTCTGTGTTTATAGCAAGACAGTAGGTATGTCTAATCTTGTGACCCCAAGGGCTGGGCAAAGGGCAGGTCATGGTGTTGCTTAGAAATAGATGCATCTGGTAGTCCAGGATGGTTCAGAAGGATCCTCGTATCCCAGCCTGACAGCCAGGATGAGACCCAGGACCCTCTTGCTATCTGTTGGGGGCTACAGAGAACCTGAGGTAGGGGACATAAGATGGACAGAGGAGGTAATGGGGGGAACCTCCTTCCCCAAGGGCACTCCCTCTTACTTGGGATGCCTGATGGGTACTTCCAGCACGAGCTCTGGTGGGATCTGGAAGAGTTCAGGGTCGTTGCCGTTGGCCTGGAGCAGGAGAGGCAGCACGTCGAAGCGGCTTCTTGGGGCTTTCCAGCCCTGCTGTATACAGATCTACAAACAGAAACCTTCAGTCACGTCTGCCCCTGCCCCTCCAAACACAGCACACAGCAGACATGGGGGAGGGGGAGGGGGGCGAGCTGAGGTCTTCATGCAAGCCCTCAGAGGCCTCTCAGTTATAAGTGGTGCTTCTAAATAAATAAAAAGATAATAAATACGTAAATAAATAAAGAAGGGCCACCTTTACAAGCTCTGTCTGACCTCACCATAGACCCAGGGCAACTTCTCCAGAGGACACAGGCCAGCCTGATCCAGAAAGGGTTTCTCGTACTGGCTGTGCACACGGAGGGGATGAAGGCCGAGTCTGACTGACTGTGGCATCCCCCACAGGCTAGCTTTTATGTGTGGTGTTAAGGGTCACAATGTCCAGTGCCGTGGCGGCTCTCTGCAGAAAACAGGCACAGCTGTCCACAGGCACAGCGAGACTCGGGAGATAAAGCGTTTTGGAAGCTTCATTAAGAAAGAAAAGCTTGGAAGTGTGGCTCCGTTTTGTTAACACTCACGTTTTAAACTGTGAATTTGAAATCCAACAACGTACCCCATATGAGTAAAAATTCGTCAATAATGGATTGAGATTTTAATCAGACGTTTGATACTAAAGTTAAATAAGGTGACGTTTGTTCACTTACTAAATATATTAAACCTGTGTTTATGGACCATAATAAAGTGTATTAAACATTAATATTAGTGTATTAATTGTATATATTTTATTACCTTATTAAGTTCTCTTTCTGTGGTGTTTGTATATTGTGTATGAGTTTATGTGTGAATGCTTTCCACCGGATTTTATTTGAAACAAGGTCTTTTTATAAAATATCTGTATTTTATTATTATTATTTTAGTTAATGTATGTGGATGCTTTGCTTGGGTGTATGTCTACACACCAGGCATATCCTTGGGGCCTGCGGTACTTAGAAGAGGGCGTTAAGTTTCTTTGAATTGGAATGATAGCCAGTTGTGATGTGGGCCATGGGAATTGAACCAAGATCCTACAGAAGATCCAGCAGTGTTCTCAACCACAGAACAATCTCTCCAGCCCAGAGAATCTCACTATGTAGCCCTGGCTATCCTGGAACTATGTAGACCAGGCTATCCTCAGAACCCCAGAGGTTCTTCTGCCTCTGACTCCAGGGTGCTGGGACTGAAGGTGTGTGCTACCGTGCTAGGCTCTACCATATTTTCTGAGACGTGGCCTCTGACTGTACCCAGAGCCCAGTGGTTTGGTTAGACTAAGATCAATCCCCCTGTCTCCAGCTCTTCTGTGCTGGGATGACAGGTATGTGTCACTACATTCAGTTCTTTACACGGGCGCTGGGATCTTTGTGCAGCCAGCCCTTTACCCACTGAGCCACCTCTTCAGCCCCACTTTTGAGTTTGAGACAGAGTCCCACTATGTCGCTCAGGCTGGCTTCAAACTCACAACCCCTCTACCTCAGTCTCCAGAGTGCTGGGAGTACAGGCGTGTACCACCATGAAGAATGACAAAATTACTGACGTGAATACATTGAGACAAGATATTAATAGTAAAATTAAATATATTTAATCCATTAAGTTTCTGAATTTAACAACATGCTCACCTGTTCCACTCTCTTGTATTCTACTATTAGAATTTCAAAATACCCTCAATATAAGATTACAATGGGGGTGGGTGGGTGGGTGGGGAGGTGTCACAGAAGTTAGTAACATTACCTACTCCTCTAGAGGACATGGTTCGATTCTCAGCACCCATATGGGAGCTCACAGCTGTAACTCCAGCTTCAGGGGATCTGACATCCTCACACCAATGTTCGTAAAATAAAATTAAATAAATTATTTTTAAAGAGTATGAATGAGCCGTGTCTGCTTTTGGGTCTGTTTGTGTTTTGTGGTCACCTTGGAGATCTCTTGGTTGGAGTCCACTGTGAAGCATGCTTACATCCACATGTGTGCATGGTCACTATCAGAAAAATGATATCGGGGTTCCAAATAACCGTGCAGCCAGGTTTGGGGTGTTTCTTTGTGCTGCGTGTGCAGTAGCCAGGAGAATGCATCCTGGCCACGGAAGATTCTGGACACAGATAGCGAAGAAAGAGTTGCGGTCCACAGTCGTGTTCGGCTAAGGAGGCAAGGTCAGCCAACTACACGCTTAGCAGTTAGCGCTCAGCCAAGTGGAACAGAGTCTGGGGAGTCTGGGCCAGACTCTGAGTGCACAGGTGCGGCTCCTGGTTGCCCTGGTTACGGAGGCCGGGTTCTCAGGATTATCACATTTCAATGAGAAAAGCCTTATGCATATGAAGTCAGAACACAGGGGGAGAGGGGGAAAGCAGGGTGGGTGTGGGATAAGTAAAGGGGTACCTGGGCATTAGCATCTGTCTGCTGTCCTGTACCAGTGGGCCAAGTACCTTGGAAAGTGTCTCTTCCCTGAACTGAGAGTCATCATGTCCACTTGGAAGGGACCCTGGGAGTGGGGATGGGCAGACTTGGTTCTTTTGGTAGCCTTTGTCAACTTTGGTCCAGCACTGAGGTATACTGATACCTGGGACAGTCAAGCCTGCTCCTGGAATGTTGGCTAGCTCAACACACTGCCCCTCCCTCCAAGAGGTCCCTCTGCTTCTGCTTCTCAGGTGCTGGGACTAAAGGCCTGCGTCACTGAACCTGGCTCCAGCTCAAACTACTGATCCAAACACAAAGGAGCCATGTATGTCAGCTCAGGAAAAGTGGTCCCGGGATGTGACTTCTCTGAACAATGGTGGTATTGGTGGGGGGCTGGCGGACCTTCCCTGGGGTCCTAGCTATTCTTCCATTTATTTAATAGTTTAGGATCAGCGCTTGGCATTGATAGGTTGATTTCAACTCTGAAAAAGGATAGAAGCTTCTACAGGGAGGGTTGGGGGAAGCTAAAGGGGTGTGATGGATTTGTGGGTGGTCACATGCCATAGCAAGTCTCAGGAGTGGGTCCTGTGCTCCTTGCTGGCTGGACCCTTTAGGATAGAAATTTTAAACTGGAAAAGCATGGAGGAGGGGGGGAGAGGTGGGCGGAGAGACCAGCGGGGGTCGGGGGGAAGGCTTGGGGCATCTAGGCTCACCTCTGTAAACTCCACGTTAGCGGGATCCCCCAAGGTAGAGCCATCTGGCTGCTTGTAGCCCGCATACCGGATGAGCTGCGAGTTCCACACTCTGAAGTCATGCTTGCCGTCAGTCCTCTGAGGGAATATAGTGATGGCCGACCTTGGGAGAAGGGAGAGGATGGAAGTCATCAGGGCGGGACTTGCCCATTGGAGGACGCAGTGACAAAACTGGAGATCAGATGTCAGGGCTCCAGCTGGAGGAAGGGGCCAAGTTACCAGCTCCTCCAATATAACCCTTGGTCTGTGCAAGATAGAAGGCAGGAAGTTATGAGCCTCCTGCCCCAGCCTCCTGAGGTTGGATTGAGAGGTATGTGTCACCACACACTGTAGGGTATACGCACCCTATATGAACACTATCTTGCATCTGTCATTTGGAATTCCTCTCTGCTGTCCCACGCTATTCCCAGAAACAGCATCCTAGCTGGGGCTCACTGGACCCTACTTCTGAGCAGGATCTGTAGGTCTTACTATCTAAGCATTTGCAACTGTGGGGCAGGATATCATCACTGATCCCAGAGGATGAGGTTAGAACCTGGGCTGGAAGTAATTCATGGAGCCATCCCTGGCAGATGTTCTACGTCTTGTAGTGAAAAATCTCTGTAGCCTGTGGGAGACGACAGAGCCTGAAGCCAGCTGCCTTCCCTCTGGCATCAAGACACATGGCTACGTCTACAGGTGGCCACCAGCCAGGGCTTGTTTGTGCACACATACATTTAAGAAGCCTGTTTATAAACACCAGAGCCACACATTGGGTGTGATACTCGCTTTCTGTGTGGGAACAGAGACGGAGGGGGATGGGAAGCATGGCCACACCTCCGTCGCCTGCTTCCCTAGGGCTCAGTTACCTGAGGGCAGTTTGCAGGCCGGTGCTGCTTCCGGCATAGACTATTTCTGCTCAGGGCACACATTCTCTTATGTCTGCTGAACGACTTTTAGACTCGAGGCTTAAAACTTAAAAGGGAATCCTAAGTGGTTATTTTTTCAATTTGCTCTCATGAAGATCCCCGTTCCACAACTGCAGAATTTGGGGTAACCCCTCTTCTTGCCGGCTCATAGTGTCCTTTGAAAACTACCAGAGCAGCCCCTGAGCAACCTGAGGGCTTAGCCTTGGCAAGGACTGACATTCATGGCTTAGAATATGCTGGAAGATTCTGTCTGTCTGTCTGTCTGTCTGTCTGTCTGTCTGTCTGCCTTCCTCTGTCTGTCTCTCTCTGTCTCTGTTTCTCTGTCTCTCTCTGTTTCTCTGTCTCTGTCTCTCTGTTTCTGTCTGTCTTTGTCTCTGTCTCTCTCTGTCTCTCTCTGTCTATCTCTCTCTCTCTCCCCTCTGTTCATACATGGAACCAAATGCCCACCTTGCTTTTTGAGACGAGGTTTCTCACCCATCCCGGAGGGACAGCAAGTCTCAGGAATCCCCACCTCCACTTCCCCAGCACTGAGATGACAAAGCACTCACCACCACATCTGGCTTTAAAACCATGGGTTCTGGATTCAGACTCAGACCCCTTTGCTCTAGCTGCAAACACCTTATCAACTGAGCTTCCTCTGTAACCACTTGCTGGAAAGGTCTCTGATACTGTATCAGGGTGAGGTTACTTAGGAAAAGAGTCCTACAATGAATTCCTCACACACAAATGATTTCTGTTCTTACTGATGGCTTAGGGAGCAAGGAAATCCATGCCTGAGGCAGACAAGCCCCCTCTGCATGAGCTCAGGGAAGCCCAGGGTGGGTGGGGGAGGGAGGGTGTCTATGGGAATATCCCTGAAATAGCTTTGGGTGTTTCTGAGTTGGGACCGATTCCGCGGTGGGGAACAGATGTCACCAGTGGGATTGACAAGTGCAGCCAGCTGTGGCCGGGGCCTCAGCTGAGAGGGAGCAGCTGAGGCCAGTGTAGAAGTCACAGAGCAAGTTACCCCCACCTTAGCTGGCTCCCTGTCCCTTGTATGGGTACAAGAGTCCAAGGTGGGGCTAGGGGCCCTCAGAACTGGAAGGCACAGTGCCGAGCAGGATGGGAGGCAGCCAGAGCAGGGTGGGATGCTGAGAGAACTGGCTCTACTCAGAAATGGGAGTTTCTTCTTTCCAGGAATCCTAACTAGTTTCCCGTCCTCTCTGCGGGGGACAGGGAACTAGAGTCCAGCCAGACTTTCAGTTTTTGTTCTTCTTTCCAACAGAGGAAGGGCAGGGGATAAGAATGACAGGATATTTCAGCCAACTGGGCCACCTCCCCAGAAGGGGACAGCTTTGTCCCCTGGCAGCTGAGAACCAGCATCCATCCATCTCAGGCTGCAGAGATATCACCCCACTCCGTCCCACCCAGCAGGGCAACTCACCTGAGGTTCCCTTTGTTGGTGGCGTACTTGATGTGATTACAGATATAGTTGAACATACCGTGGGCTGTGGTGCAGTCTCGGGCATCGAACACCTATGGAAAGTGCATGTTGGGAGCGCTGGCTACCTCCTCTCTCCCTGGCAGCCCCAGGACAGAGTTCCTTTCCAGGGGTCCCTGAGTCCACTGCAGCTGCACCTAGTTTCGGTTAGCCAGCGCCCCGCCCCCTCCCCACTCTTGAAGTCTAGGCTGTATTTTGTATTGCTTTTTATTTTTTTATGCTAATAACTGAGGAGATACATTTGCATAGAGAGCAAATGTAACTAAAAGGATGAGCTGTGATGGGCTGGCTATGTTTTCTGTGGGGCCTCCAGGCATTTGAAAACAAGCAAAAAAATGGAATAATCTAGAACAGAGGGTGGAGGTGGGGGCTCATGAGACCCTACTCTGTCCCGAGGAGCTACTGGTAGTTGACGGCTTCTCACTCCCTTTGGTGGTATAGCTCTGGAAAGGTGACCACACCCCTCCCTCATGCCAACAGCGCTAACCAAAGCCGGCAGCTCACAAAATGTAAACATAAAACATAGGATGCTGAAGGAGAGAGGGTCAGCTGGGAAGGGGAAGGGGACGAGGGACGGTAGTGAGGACGGAACGTGATCAAAATGCTTCATAGAAATCAAACTGTCATGACAAAGCCCACGAGTACGTATAACGCACGCTAACACAGAACAGAAAGCCTGATCCTACAAAAAAATTCAACTTGTAACATTAAGCTACTTCCTAGCCAGGGACACAGAAGTGAACTCCTTCAGGCAGAAGCAAGTAAAAGGACAGCCTCAATAAAGAGCAGCGTTCTGATAGGCCCCCTACCAAGTTGGATCTCTTTCAAAGCTCCATCTGTCCCCATGGTTTGTTTCCTCCCAGAGGGTCTCCCAGATGGCTGAGTGTCACCACCTACCTGCAGCTTGGACCACTGGATCCTGCCCACGCATCGAGAGGCGTTCCGCCAGGCGTGTTTGGCGCCATAGATGAGCTCCGTATCCTTGAGCTGGTAGGTGTTGGTGCTTTCAATCTCCTTGTTCACCTCATCCAGCCTGTCCATGTGGGCCTTGGAGCCAAACCTAAGGGAGGAGGAACAGAGAGGGGGCCGCAATGGGACGGCCTGGGAGTGTTCTGTGTGTGTGTGTGTCTGTGTGTGTGCGCAGGTACACAAGTGAGTGTGTATGGGTGCACGTGTGTGTACACATGTATATGTATGCATGTATGTGCATGTATGTGCTGGTGGGGGTGTATGCACAAGCATGTATGCATGTGTATACGTGTAAATGCATGCATGTGGGTAGGTGTATGTGCATGTGTGTACATATGTGTATGTGCATGTGTGTGGGGAGGTGCAAGTGTGTGTATGTGTGAGTGCGTGTGTACATGTAAGTATGTGTATGTGTGCATACGTATGGGCACATGTGTGGGTAGGGGTGCATGTGCACGTGTGTAAGCGTGTGTGTGCGTATGTGTGTACTTGTGTGCATGCATGTATACATGTGTGTGGGGTGTATGTGCATATGTGTGTATGCATGTGTGTGTATGTGTGTGCATGTGTGTAAGCATGTACAGGTATGTGTATGTGTATGTATGAGTGTGAGTATGTGTGCATGTGTATGTATGTGTATATATGCAAGTATGTGTGCATATGTGTATATGCACATGTGTGTGTATGCACATGTGTATATGCTTGTGTACATGCATTTGAGCGTGTATTAAAGGTTCAGAGCTCTGTTCTACTACCCCTAAGCTGGATAGAGCCTCTAAGCTGGGGAACAGTGAGTGTTTTCTTCTAACTCTCCCCAGGTTATTTTTTGAGGCAGGGTCTCTCATTGAACCTAAGTTGTCAGTGAGCCCCAGGGATCTGCTTGTCTCTACTCCCCACTGCTGGAGTTGCAGACACATCCCAACATGCTCTGCTTTCACATGGGTGCTGGGAATCTGAGCTCAGGTTGTCACGCTTGCAAGCATTTCCCCCAGTGGTCCAGCTGCCCAGCCCTCTGTACTTACCTCTTAATGGATGAGTAGTATTGGTCGAGAAATTCTTTGGCTAGAGGGAAGAGCTGGTCCTTGGTGCGGACATCTTCTGACTTCCGTATGTGATGGGATGGCAGCATGATGGAGCCCATGCAAATGTGCTCTGTGCATCCCGTTTCCTGGAGGTCAAGAGGGATGTGGGTGAGATTCTGGTTTCTCCCCACCAGGCTTGGCAGGTGTCATGACTGAGAACTATGGTGCCCAAGTCGTTTGTGCTGGTCAGTAAGGGAAGGGGCTTTTTTTCACTGGGACACACAGCCACTGGTGCGACAACCTAGTGCCTCTGTCATCTCTACCTGCATCCTCTGTTATCAATCATCTATCCATCTATCACTAATCTACCTATCATTAATCATGTGTATATCATCTCTCTATATATCTATTATCTATGTGTCTATGTAGCTATCTATCTATGTATCTATCTATGTATCTATCTATGTATCTATCTATGTATCTATCTATGTATCTATGTATCTATCTATGTATCTATCTATGTATCTATCTATGTATCTATATGTCTATCTATATATCTATGTATCTATGTATCTATGTATCTATGTATCTATCTATGTATCTATGTATGTATGTATGTATGTATGTATGTATGTATCTATCTATCTATCTATCTATCTATCTGTGTGTCTATGTGTCTATGTATCTATGTATCTATCTATGTATCTATCTATGTATCTATCTATGTATCTATCTATGTATCTATCTATCTATGTATCTATCTATCTATGTATCTATCTGTGTGTCTATGTGTCTATGTATCTATGTATGTATGTATCTATCATCTATCTACATATCTATTTATCTATTATCTATGTAACTCTATATCTATCGTCTATGTATCTATACATCTACATATGTATCTACTATCTATGTGTCTATCTTTGTATCTATGCATCTATCATCACATGTCACTCATCTATCACCTACCTGTCACCTATTATCATTCTATCAATAATCTATATGCTTATCTATCTACAACTCTTCCATCCAGCATTTAGTAATTCTATTATGTATCACCTATCTATCTATGTATCTATCTATCTGTGTATCTATCTATGTATCTATCCATCCATCTATCATCTAGTTTTTGTTTTAAGGCAATATCTCATATAGCCCAGGCTGGTCTTGAACTCACTGTACACCTGAGGTTGGTCTTGAGTTTTTGACTTTCTGCCAAAGTACAGCTATGTACTATCATACTCAGTTCTAGGAAAAAAAAAACCGTTCTAAATTGATCAAAGAAAACTAATGATGGCATTATCATCATCATCATCTTCTTCTTCATCATCAACAACAACATCTCGCTGCTGAGACAGGGTCCCATGGAGCCCAGGCTGGTCTCAAGCACCATCTATGGGCCAAGGCAAAGAATGATGTATGAATTTCCCACCCCGCTGCCTCCACCTCCTGGGTACAGAGATGACAGCCCTGTATCACTACTCTGCCTCTACGCTGGGTACTGTGGCTTATTCACTCCCAGGGCTTTGTAAGTGCTAGGTGAGCACTTTGACTGAGCTCCGCCCCAGCTTCAAAGGATGTGTCTGAACACACCCTGTGTTAGATTGATATCCAAGTTGATAATAGATAGATACATACATAGATATGTAGATAGATAGATGATAGATACATAAATAGATTCATAGATAGATATATAGATAATACATACATAGATAGATAGATGATAGATAGATACATACATACATACATACATGATAGATAGATAGATAGATAGATAGATAACATACATACATGATAGATAGATACATACATACATGATAGATAGATACATACATACATACATACATGATAGATAGATAGATACATACATACATACATACATACATACATGATAGATAGATACATACATACATACATGATAGATAGATAGATACATACATACATACATGATAGATAGATAGATAGATAGATAGATAGATGATAGGTAGATACATTGATAGATGATATACAGACACCGTAGCTATTCCCTGCCATACACACTAATTCTTTGTGATGTGATTTTACAGCCCCTCTCCTGAGATGCAGCCTGTCCCTCACCCCTTGGGTACAGGTTGGCCTGGACCTATCGAATGTAGTAGGAGTGACCCTGGGCCATTTGCAAGCCTAGGACTGGAGAAGTCTTGAATGTTAATAGAAAATAGAGATATCTTGCATACTTCTGCAGCCCCGGGGACAGACTCAAGCTTGGTTCCTGGAAGAGGAGAGGTCACACAGAACAGAATCTTCTCTGCCTGGCCTGAGCTGTCATCTTAGGGGGACTGCAGGTACGTTAGGCAGACCTCATCAAGATCAGGCACTTCTTGGCTGGGCACACTGGGCCACTGGGTGAGTCTGTGGACTTTTTAAAAAGTAACAGTTGTTTTCAGCTGCTGAGTTTGGGGCCTGCTTGTTACGCTGCATTAGCTGACAGAGACATCATTTCCTTTAAGAGGCAAAGGGTTGGAATGTTGAGTATTAAGAATCTGGTATAGAACAGAGTCCACAGTGTGAGATGTAGGAAGGGCTGGCTCAATACCTTATCCATGATCACACTGGAAGAGGCAAAGGATGCTGAAGGACCCTTAAATTCTGCCAGGAGCAAGGTGCTCACCTAGAGAGGCTTTAACTGATAGCATAACTCATTGGTAGAGCATCCAGGGAGGTGTGGGGCAATGCCAGCTGTGACCCTCTGGCTGTCACAGCATAGGTGGGGACCCTGGCCTCTCATGGGGGTGGGCTACAGGAAGTGTTTATCAGAATCACACTGCTATACACAGGATCCCCCAACACTGATGCTGTCCCCGCCTCCTCCTGTGAGATGAATTAGTCCCAACACTCACCAGCGTGCTCTTCAGGTGCAGGGTGTCAGTGAGGACCACGTCTGTCTCCCAGTTCTTGACCTTGAGGAAGCGAGGGCACCTGGAAGGGCTGCCATTTTTGGTAGGGGACTGTTTGCCCGAGGCTGGAGACTGGGAATGAGAGGGAAGGCATCAAATGAGCTCCATGGTGTCTTAACTGAGAAATGAAGACTTTGCTTTTTCTAGAGTTTTCTCTGGGCCACCTGATGACTTCCCAAAGCCAGGCCCAACCTTCTCTGGATGCCAGGTGCAAGGTTTCCCAAGACCAACAGCTTTGCCCATGGAAAAGATGTACCCCGGCATGGGAAAATGTCACAGATTCGATCCGGATGCAAGGAGGCAGGAGATCAAAGGTGACCTCTTCAATGTCTGTCATAGAGTCAAGACTATCTAGAATAGACTATGAATTATAATATTTAGAATACCATGTGGAGACCCAGTAGATGTTTGTTGAGTGAATCAATGATGGATTGGAAACTATCAGGCTTTGAATATGATCCTTAGAGCTGGAGAAACCTGGTGGTTTGCTTGGTAGGCACAGCGCCATGTAACAGGGAATGCAGGGAGGAGGCAGGTCTGATCTGTGTCATTCATACACATCTGTCTTAGGCTTCCACACACACCAAGTGAATGCCTTCCCCTGAGTTACATCACCAGCTCTCTTCTGACATTTTTATTTTGAGGCAATTTTGTTTAGTTTTCCAGACTAGCTTTGTACTCTCAGGGTGACTCTGAACTTGTCATCCTCTTTCCTCAGCCTCCTGAGTAGTTGGAGTCATGGGCCTCCACCATCAGGCTTAGGAGTCATGGGCCTCCACCATCAGGCCTGGGAGTTATAGGCCTCTACCATCAGGCTTGGGAGTCAAGGGCCTCCACCATCAGGCCTGGGCTGTACATGCTAGCGGTAGTGTGTTGTGACTGTGACAGAAACTGAGACTGGAGAGTCCTTAAAGCCAAGGATGCCTCCAATTTAGCCACTGGCCTGTTTTTCTCAAAGGCCATTGGGTTGGAGATCTTTCTAGAGTTTCCAGGAAATAGTGCTGTGTGACCTTCTCTCTAGTCACCCTTACCACATGATGTCAAACATCTTTACAGCACTTAGTCCAGCCTGCAGGTGGTTTTGTGTCTGTGTGTGTCTGTGTGTGTGTGTGTGTATGCACTTGCACGTTGTACACATGCACTTATGTGTAGCGTCAGAGGACAACCTTGGTGTCATCTCAGGCACCAGGCACTTTATTTTGAAACAAAGCCTCCTCCTGGCCTAGAGTTCACAAGTAGTGTCAGCTAGTTGCCCAGTGAACCCCAGGAGTCTACCTATCTCGATTTCTGTAAGTGTGAGTTGCAAGTTCGAGTTACAAGCACCATATCTGACTTTCTTGTTTATTTTTTAGCTTGGGTTGCAGGGACTGATCTGAGGTTCTCTCTTGCCTCCCCTGCTGCTGCAGTTGGTTTGTTAGAGATAGCCGGTAGTCTAGGTGGGTCTGAAGCTTTTGTTTTCCTGCCTCTACCTCTCAGGCATTGGGGCAAGAGGCAAGTGTCACCACGACCAGTACTTCCTATAATGATTCCACAAGCATGAGTGTATACACACCTTCGTGCCCTGTATACACCCACACACTCTATACACGCATGCCTTGGAGAGAACTGCTCATTCCCATGACTTTTATTTTGGGGACTCGAATTGACTACATGGCCAAGGACAACCCTGAACTTCTGATCTTCCTGCCTCGACCTCCAGAGTGCAGGGGTCACAGGTGTGCGCCACATTCTTGTCTTAATCTTCATATCATATACATTTATGTATCTACACAAAGATTCAGAAGATCCAGTTGTCTCTTCGTATCTATAGAGCTAGGTGCTAAGAACCCCATGGACACCAGAATTACCGTTCCCTAGCCCTTCAAATTAAAAAAAAAGCCATCTTATTGGCCTACAACCCATGTATCCCCTCTTACAAATATTGGGTAAATAGTTCTAATGTTACATAGTTTAGGGGGAATATGACAAGAGAAAAAGTCTGTGCATACTTAGTACATGCACAAATACACATGGACACATATACATATATACACATACATACATATATACACATACACACATATATACATACAAATATACACATACACATGTATACACACATACTCACATATACATACATACACACATACACATACACACATACATACATATACATACACACATACATACACATACATACACAGACATACATACATACATACATACACATACACACATACATACATACACACATACACACACATACACACATAAATACATACATATATAACACACATACATACATACACATATACATACACACATACATACACATATACATACAAATACACTCATACACACATACATACATACACATACACACATACATACACATACATACATATGCACATACACACATACATACATACATACAAATATACACATACACATGTATACATACACATACTCACATATACATACGTACATACACACACATACACACATAAATACATACACACATATATAACACACATACATACACATATACATACACACATACATATACATATACATACACATACACACATACATACATACACATACACACATACATACACATACACACACATATACACATACATATACACACATACACAGACATACAGCTATACAGACATACACACGCACACACACACCCTCCAGGTTCGGGGAAATGGGCAAGTGTCTACGCACACTAGGCCAGGGCTTTACCACTGTGTCTCATCCCAGCCTCCAGTCACAGTTTCCCCCCACACCCCCGGATATTTTCAACACACAGCTGGCTGAATCAGTGTATGTGGCTCCAGAGATACAGGAAACTGACTTCCTCATCCGCCTTCTCCTTGTTCAGCTGCCTCTTCCCCAGCTTGTGTGGAATAAGCATTTGGGGGGCCTGTCATAAGCTGTGTTATACCTTCCGAGTCTACATGCCAGAACCCTAATCTTTTGGTGACATGTGTTTTTGGAGGTCATAGGTTAAATGGGCTCATCGGGGTGGGGCCTTCATCTGCTAGAATTAGCAACCTGATGAGATTAGTCTCTCTGTCCCCTCTCTTGCTTTCTCCCTGCCACATGTGCCTTTCACATATTAGAGACACAGTAGGAAAGACCCTTCTACAAGCCAGAATAAAACCCCTTCCCACAGTGGTTCTCACCTTCCTAATGTTGCGACCCCCATGTGGTGGTGACCCCCAACCATAAAATTATTTTGTTGTGACTTTACAAATGCAATTTTGCCTCTGTTATGAATCATAACGTAAATGTCTGATATGCAGATGGTCTTAGGAGACCCCTGGGGAAGGGTTGGTTGTTTGACTCCCAAAGGAATCACACCCATAGGTTAAGAACCACTCCCTACCCAGAACCAGGCCACTCTGGCAAGCTGATGACAGACTTCAGCTTCGAGAACCCTGGCGATGAATTTCTAACATTTAAGCTGTTACATGTGTGGGACCATGTGGGCTTAGCTTGAACTGAACAACACAAAGTCTACACCTCCTTGGAAATGTGGAATGACCTAAATGTATGGCCGAGGACACTGCTCAGATCCGGATTTAGCGGGGACAGAGAACCATAAAGCAGCTTGGCTTGAATGGGTGGGCAGACGAAAGCCAAGGGGCAAGAAACAGAGTTGCTTAGACTTTTCGTGGGGTCATGACATGATAGACCTAGCTCTCTCTGCTTCCTGACAGGATACAATGTCATGCATTCCAGCTCGGTAGGGAACTTCACTGTAGAGGGCTGGGTGTTTCCCCCTGGTGATTTCTCACCGATAGCAGGTTACAATGATTGGGTGGTATAGTCTCTCAAACCCCGAAGTACAACTCCTACAGAATAAATATTGCTTTCACACCACCGCGAAACTGAAACGCTAAGTGAAGCCTTTAGTAGGTCAGGACTAGCTCTCTGAGATTGCAAGGATTGTGGGAGGGAGGGGGTGAGGACCGAGAGTCTCCAAGATGTTTTCTCAAAGGATGCGGCAAGGTGGCGGGGTGTAGTTGGAAGATAGATCTTCAGGAAGCTAGGCTGGAAGAGGGGAGTTGGGTTAAGCCTGGTAAGTACAGGAAGAGCAACTGACAATCTGGGGTGTAAGAAAAGCCAAGTCAGCCTGGCGGCTTCCTTCTGTCTGGGTCACAGAAGTTCGGAACACTCGATGAGGGATCCCCAGACTCTGGGAAGCAGGGAGGAGAATGTGAGAACTGGAGAAAGGATGTGTTTGAGTCAGGAAGCCAGGACCTCAGTATGACAGGAAGATGTCTCAGGGGCCAAGGACCCGTGCTTCCCAATACCTGTGTCCTCTCAAATCCTTATATCGTCCCAAAGGTCAGCACCTCTGAATGTGACTGCGGTGACCTACCTCGACTGTCACCTGACCTGTCATCCACTTTCGAGGATGTAGAATCGCCATGGAAACAGGCCACTGGGCATGCCAGAAAGGAAGTGTCCAGATGATATTAGTTGCAGTGAGAAGGCAGACACTAACTGTGAGTGTCACTGTCCCATGGGCTGGGGTCTTGGGACAGAATACTAAGGAGAAAGCTAGCTGAGCACCTGCGTTCTTCTCTCTCTGCTTCCTGACTGGATACAATGTAATCAGCTGCCTCAGGCTCCTGACAATGTACTCACTGTCTCAGGTTCCTGCTGCCATGCCTTCTCCTCTACCAGGGACTGTGTCTCTCAAACTGTGAGCCAGAATCAACCCCTCTTTCCAAGTGGTTTTGGTCGGCTAGTTTGTCATAGTAACCAGAAAGGAATTGATACAGTATCCCTAACTGAAGACAGAGTCTCCATGAAGGCTACAAATTAGAATGTAGTCATTATATAGTCCTTGACTTAAAAGGACTGATGCCATGTAGAAAAGGGGAATTCTGGGACAGATACTTCCTTACCCAAAGAGAAGGCCCTGTGATCATGAAACTGGCAATTACCAGCTAAAGAGAGAGGGGTCATTTTGCCCAGACCTTGACTTTGGGCTCCCTCTGTCATAACTGTGATACAAAGTACTCAGGTTGTCAGGACTGGGTTATCTAGCCTAGGTGAGTGAGCCCTGGAGC